ATGAGTGTGTATTGCAAGCTAAACTTAATCACCTATGTACATACATATTCTAACACATATCTATCAAGAGTGTTCGACTCGATTTGAACTCAGGCTACCAATCCCCAAAGAACCCCTCCGCTTCTTAGCTACATAACTGAGGCCCTTCTTGCTCCCATCCTTCTTGTCCTTGTGCTTGCCATCTGCACTACTAAGGTCACCGATGCTTGTGCTGCTACTGTTGTTCTTATTCCTCGATTTGCTCGACCCACTCTTCTTAAGGTTATGTCCCTTCGAAGGACCTGCCGTGAATAGTAAAGGCATATCAATCTTAGGGCTGCCGCGGTTCGGCCCTGCAGCCAACACCACAGACATTTCCACCTTGTTGTTGCTGTGGGCCTTCCCATCACCTCGACGCATTTGTTCGTTCCCACTCGTGCCACTACCCGTACTCAACGTCTTGCTCAGCTTCTTGCCCGCGGTAGACAGTGATCGGCTGTTGGTGCGTGTGACTACCGAGTGGCTGGCGGTGGTTGCGGACGTCTGAGCCTTCAGCGGCTGGACATCGTCCCACGGACACACCTCGTCTTGCTGCAAACTGTCGACGTTCTCGGGCACCACATACTTATTGCCCTCAGACGATTGCCCCGCCCCTATATTGGCTATGGCCATCTCGGAGGTTGAGTAGCGACGCATCTCTCCCCTCGAGTCCACTTGCAGCGTTTGTCGGAGTGAGGAGTTTGAGCCGGATTGCTTGGTGTCAACCTTTCCGTCAGCCCCATCCCCGGACGCTGCATTGGCGGAGGTCTTGTTGGCGTCCTGGGTGTGGTGATTGGTGCTGCCTTTGCTTGGCCCAAGGGGTAGGGATGGCTTCACCATGTGTGTTACCAAGGTGTTCTGTATATCCTTCACTGTATCCTGCAGAAACTGCGCCTGCAGCCGCACGACGCGTTCGCGACTGTCTCTAACCATGAACACAAACTGTATCGGCTCCTTGCGCGCACGGTAGTTGGTCACCGGTGACATGCTGGCCAGAACCTTATCCGAGCACCATTCATTCAACACCAAACACCCAAAGTTATCGAAGGAGGATACAGTCTTCTCTCTGTGCTTATCCGCGCTACTTGAGCTCGTGAACGATGATTTGGAGGTGTACTTCTTGAGTTTGGTGCGTATGGTGCCTTCCTGTTCCTTGTGTGATCCACCGTTCCATGCGCCGCTGCCCTCTGCGTTGATGCACAATTCATCCCCACCAGACGACTGTGTGAATGGAAGTAGGGATCGCTTGAGATCTAGTCACATGATAACATTTTCAGGACATTAGGGACATGCTATTTACGAGTTTGTCTAGTGTAAATATATAAATGCATACATAATATACATA